TTGTTTATCTATCTATCTTTGTTTTTATATTTGTCTTTGTCTTTCACACTTTTGCACTTAAAAAACCTTCTTTTTTCTAATTAATTTAATTTTCAACTATTTTTGTTTTAAATTTTCTATTTATTTCTAAATTTTGATATTAAAAATTGTAAAATTTTGTTTAATTTATTTCCAATATAACTCTAAATTAATATTTTGTTTTTTGTTTAAAATAAACCTCTACTCACTTTTATTTTTCCTCTCACAATCGTTTCATAACCTCCAAATCGAATATCCAGCTTGAGCAACAACTGAGTAATCAAACAGATTCCGCGGATTTCTTAGACTTTCATAGTCTCTATGTAAACATTTAAACGTGAAGCTATGCGAGTGTCTTCATCGCACACACAAACCCATACCGAAAGACACGATTGGTATCGTGTATGTGAGATTCATTATTTAAGGTATCCGAAATTATTTTAATCAGTGCTGATTGTTTTATATGTAAATACTCGTTGTGTTTTGATGTCAGTCGATGTTTTTGTTGTTGTATTTCGAAGTACATATAAATGTTTCAATCTGTCTAGCGCAGTATAGAAATATATGTGGTGTCTATGTTTTTCATAGTTTTTCAAGCAAGTAAATCATTTAATATAGTGAATATGAGTAGAGAGAATTTGTTAGGGAAAAATATCAAGCCTTATTCGTTTGTCTAAACATTTTTCGTCTTCAGTCTTGTAATGTGAAATTATTTCGTTCGCTAAATACTTGGATGCTGTCAGCTTTCTGGGAAAGAGTTTTATTACCCGTGGTTATAGTTTCAGAACTCTATTATTCGATTTTAGTCGGTAGATGGAAGTCATCCAAGCAGCTCACCAACAGCTATAAAGTGTATACATTACTCAAAAGTTGGGAACATATCTTTCTAAGTTTCAAATTTACTCTGGATTTAGAAGTAATACATTCATTGATAACAACAGGTATTGCTGTAGCATAATGATATCTTGAGTTAGGAGGAACTTTTACAGAGCTATATGTTGCCTAGATTAAGGAGATTTAAACCATATGGAACTTTTTATCAGATTATAACTTTTTATTAATTATGGTAGGCCTTGGCTTGAGATAATATATTGAAACATTAGTCGATGGTTTACGCTTTCTCTTAAGCTAACTTCCGAATATAGAAGCTGTTAGATGTATGTATCTCTATACTCTCTACTGCTACTCAATCGGTCTAGATATATGCCTTATATCTGAAGACAGCCAGTCATGGGCAAGACCAATTTCAGGGTAAACAAAGTATATTTTATGGTTCTGTTCGGTTACTATATTCTGAAATGCACATTAATATTTTGATCGACTCTTGTCGTGGATAATATTGGCAAAAGGGCTCTTAAAAACACTGATAGGTTAATGAAGGCATCTTTGAGGATACAATAAACTATGAAATTAAGATCTGCTTGTGCTGTGTCTTGAAGACGATGAACCATTAGAGAACATATCGCGCACCTCTCCGCCACTAATTAAGTAAAGTCCCATTTTTTTGACCTGCTTACAGTTGCTTTGTCTACATAAGTTTTTTCAAAGTAAATAGAAAGCTTTGACTTTTTACCCACAGAGCTAGACATTGTTTATTGTACGTTAAAACCAGCTAAGAGCCGTATTAATACAGTTTAGAGCAATTATTTTGGACCTGCTAAATTATAAAAAAGTATGCAGAAAAATTTTTATGAGCTTTTAGGGCAATTTTTTTTAGCCCACCGAACTCGACTCGATATATTATATGTTAGATATCAACCAGCTAAGAGTCAATCCATCTTAAGCTCTAATTCAGCCTTAATGTCCAGCGTGCTTTCTCCCCGGTACCGCTCAATTTGATAATATAAACTCAGCATATTGGTATGTGATTATATTTGACATAAATGTAACGTTATAATTATGACACATTTTACACTTTTTTAAAAAGTTTTAATTTTTAATTTTTATCAAACAACCACACGCACTTTAATTGAAGTATAAAAATTACATTAAGACGTACCTACATTTCAGAACGCACATATGCATAGCAGAGAATACAAATAACCTCAAAAATTATTGTGAAAAATATGAAATTAGCCTATATAATTTTTAGCTGATTTTGCTTATTTAGCACACATTTTAATTGCTAAATATTAGTTATTGTTATTAAGTTTCGCTATTTTGTAAAGCCTTCAGTGTTTTTGAACTGTCGAAGCGCTGAAAATTATGCTCATTAATTTTTATTTTGTTTTCTGTGCTTCGCAGTTTAGCAGCTTTGTTCAGTTATTTTTTAAGGATTTATGAAGCTTAATAATGCACTCATGTTGTTTTTTATATTCATATTTATATATACTTTTTTGTACTAAAAGTTTACTTAGCATTACTCTTGTCACTCTTTTTTCCACGTAGGTGCCGCCCGAATCGAAGGCTGGAAGTGGAAATGGCAGTGGTAGTGATATGCAAAAGCAATAAAATTGTGAAAATGCTTTAATATCGATTAATTTCCATTGAATACTAGTAGTGGCGAAATCAAAAGCGGCTGAAGGTATGCACAAACACTTTTGAATACTTTTTATGATTTACTTTGAGTAGTTTCGATTTTATACAACAATTTGGACATCGAAAAATCAAATTTATATAAAATTGCAAGCAAATCGAAAATATTTCCTGCCTTATTATAATTTTTAAAATAATCAACAATGAATAAACGACAATGTTAAAACCGCTCGTTAAAGAACTAATATGAGTTTAATGAGACATAAGCTCAACAAAATTTAAATTATAAGGCCTATGAGGAAAGCATCCCACGTGGGATCAGAATGCAGTATATTAGGGATAAGATTAACGCCGGTTTGAAATAAAAGTACTATTATCAGGAAAATATTCTCCCTGAAGTTCATTTATATACCTTAGAGTTTTGCTGATATTTAACGTAAAAAATCAGCTGTTGGCACTAAGGCCCTCATTTTCGGTATCTGGGTACTAGAAAAGTTAAGGTTCGATTTCACTTTATTTTAAATGTGAGGTGTCAAACCTTTGTGGTACTATCTGCTAAAGGTGCTTGGTTTATATTATATAAAATGAATGATTAAGAAGGAATTTAAAATCTTGATATAATGGAAGTAGTATGTCATAAAAGAACACAAAAGTACCGAGTCAATGTCGTAATAATTTTCTATTTAAATATATTTTTTTTATTTGGCATCATAGCTTTCAGCTCCGGATGACCATACCCAATGTGTGCTGGAATTGCTTGAGCAAGACGGTGATCTTAATTCACAACGCGCGTAGGCACGACATCGTTATGTTACGCAGCACAGGGTGGCTATTTAAATGCGATGAAAATACTGATAAAAGCCGGTGCTATTAGGGATATGTAATTGGTGGTAAGTTGAGCATTATATTGGAAAAAATAATATTGAGGAATTAAAAATGAAATGAAATTAAATTAAGCAGTACTGAAATTAAGCTCCGTTATTACGGGTAAATAATAATTTTAGGTACAGTTAAGTTATGTTAGGTTATCGTATATTACGTTAAGGTTACGTAAGTTATGTTAAGATCAGTAAAGTTTACTAAAAATTTTTTAACTAAACTGAGTTATTTATAGTTTTGAACTATTGTACAGAGTTTTTGGGTCTAATGTTTATATATGCAGAAAACCTATTTATATATCTGCAGCGAAGGAGTCAAAAGCGTCAACTTAAGTACTAATGCTCTTGTCTTCTCTTCCACCAGGATCGCGCCATAACCGTTTCACCGCCGCACGAAACGGCTATCGCTAAGTGCTATCCTTGCTCATCCCGGCGGTCGCCAATTCCGATATGTAGCGAATAGAGGGTGCTACACCACCTTGAATCGACGCACAAACGGTACACGATCACATACATACGGTGTTGTTGAAAAACAGCGCCTTTGTAAACGCAGTACGCTGTGACGATGCAACGCCACTCTTTAAAGCGGCTCATAAGGGATACGCGGCGCTTGTAGGTGAACTCTTGAAATACCGACCTAATTACTGGTGGAAGAACTAAATCGGTAAAATATATGCAATTTATAAATAAGTATTCCAAAAATCATGTTTTAAAAGTTTTTTCGAAATATTAATATTGAAATTCGTATTCTAACATACACATATGGTATACATACTAACTTATGCTCTAATCTTTGTTACTAAAACTGTAATATTTTAAAAATTGTATTAAATGCGCATATTAAAGAGTACACGGAGCTCTGATTGGGTTAGTGAAATAAAAAATTTTGAATATCTGAAAATTATTTTGACTGTTTTATTGAATTCTGGGAAATATACTTTTCAGCCAAAAACGTTTTACATGTTTTAAAAAGTATTAAAAATGAGTTTAAATAAATTCATTTTAATGTTCTGCTTATTATCTAGTTATGTTCTGAAAAGCTTTCGTTACGCTCTCCTTACTTCCTGCCATCGTGTAAGCTTTCATTGAACTTCCACTTAACTTTTATTAGTATTTAATGTAATAACACTCAATATTAGCGATTATAGTTATATATGTGCTGCCATATACTTTCGTGGTACATCTCTCATTCAAGAATTTCCCACTTATATGTATTTTTTGTGCCGTTGGCTCCATATTTAGAACGAAATTACCATCTAGGTACTTTACGAAATAATGCCAAGCTTTATACCAAAATTTAAAACCGAGGTTGCGGTCTACGATATACCGTTAATATACCCGTATAGATTTTCCAGCTTTTTCATAAGTATATAGGTGATAAAAACTTTTCAATTTATATATTTCAATCGATTTACGAATTATGTTCTTTCAGGACTTGCACATTACATTTTTGATGTGCAGAAAACTTTCGGAATTTTAGTTTTTGCTCTAATTTTGTACCAGTTCATGAAAATTATTTAAGTCTCTATCAGTATTTCTAGTGTACAGTCCAGTGTATCTTCTACAATGTGTGAAGTTAGTACTTTACAGTACGGAATGCTTCTTGGGGAAATATTACTCAATACGGTTATACTTTAGACATCTAAGAATTAAGTAAATCTATTGAATCATTTTATTGATTATAAAGAGATGGGAGTTGTACAAATCTTATAGAGATATCATTATATAGTGGCACTGGAGAGAACGGCTGAAGATGTCCACCTTGGTTAAACAATTTCTTTATGGTATTTATTGGGAAAGGATGAAGTAATTGTGCACGATATATTTTAAAGTAGTGCTTCTCGGAGAAAGCGTGGATTTTCGTAAGGAAATTGTATGTTATTTCGTCAACCCTTATAATATTGTAGAACCTATTTTGAGCGAGACTTTAGCCGTAGTTCGGCTCCGTGAACTTTCAAGATTACGTAATGTCAGTGATCACATTCTTCATGAGATATTCACGACAACAAACCAAAGTTCGTTAAGAATTTATGTTCGTCTTTGTTTAGCTTTGTTCGAGATTTATATTGATTACCTACGCTCCCAGTGTTTTATTTACCACCAATTAATTTGTGTCCACTTTAACCTAACCTAACTATATTAATTTATGTAATTCGTTGTATTGTTCCTTCCTTTTTCGTTTTTGTGATATCATGATTTAGCTCACTTTTTCTCAAACTCCACTTGTAATAATTGGCGGCAAACTAATGAAATTTAACACAGTTTCACGTACGGGATATATTACCTACAATATACATCATTATTTGCAACTATAATCATTTCTATACAATCAGCGTTGGTTTCGTAAGTCATCTCGTCTAAATATATGCCTTTGTATGTATGTATATATATGTACGACTTATGACCGTTATGTAGTCCATATTACCTCCGCCAAATCACGTGCTTAGCATTTAATTACATGACTACACATTTTGTGTTTTGTGTTAACGGTAACTCGCAGTGGAATATTGTTTAATCACTTTTGAAAACTCCAACCAAGGAAACTAATTATGCCAAATATAATCAATTTGTGTTACCAAATAAGCTTGACGTAACGTACGCCAAACACAGCCACCTGAGTGCCCCTATGTTTGTGTTAAATAGATGATTAGGCAGCAAAATGTCGATTAATGAACGTAGCCAGTTGGCTTTACAATAAATGTAGTTATAGATTTGAATTTCATAGTTACATTTTATTTTGTGGTTGAAGGGTTTGCTTTAGGTAAGATTTGTGGGACTTTACTCAATCTTATTTGAGAATACCATTGTGTATCCTTCCACCTTGAGTAGAGTTAAGCAGTACTTAACGTAAGATAGTACTCTATACTGCTTTTTTATTCTCTATTCCCTACTCTTCTTTAAACGATACTCTGAACTCTACTATATACATACTCGTATAAACTGAGATATAATGTCAATGAGTCATTTCTAATCTTTATTGTACTGCGTTTTACTTAACTCTACTTTTATTATAGAAGATGTGTCCTAAAAATAACTGAACTTTTTAAATATAAAATAAAATGCACATTATTTCATCTTTGAAGGTTATAATTTATTCCAAATGGGCGGCGTTAGACTCAATGCCATGCTTGGAACGATCAACAAGCGCATGCCTAGAATTTTGTTTATGTCATTTTTGGGAATATTTTTCTACACTGTCTTATACTTCAGATACACTGCCCTATATTTAACTCAAAACTCGAATCTATTTGTCAAAGGAGTTCTCATGAAAATGAGCCTGCTCTACTGTATAATCTATATTCTTCTCTCGACTCTACTCCATACTCTACACTCAAAACTAAATATGAAAAGAGATCTTGGGAAAATTAGCCCACTTTAGATTATATACTACTACGTTCCATTCTGTTCTACATATATACTACTCTACTCTCAAAACTATATACGAAAAACTTTTTCATAGAAGGGAGTCTACTATACTCAATATGCTACACTGGCTTCTACTCTAGACTCTATTCGAAATAATACTTTATTTTGAAAACTATGGTGTATATAATAGGAGTCTTTGTGGAAATGAGTCCACATTCCTCTATACTCTATACTACTCTCAAAACAATATATGATAGGGGACTATATGACTCTTGGGGACAATTCTACTTTACTCGGATTATAAACGAACAATTTAATAATTTATGGTACCAGCTATCTGACAATGGATAGATCAAAATATATTATCTTGAAGAAGAGCCTTAAGTGTAAAGTACTTATGTGTGCTTTAAGATTTAAAGTTTATCTAATAAAATACCGACTTTCTGATCGGTATCTTGTTTTCCTACCATACCACTAACCAACATATATGTTATTGACTCTTTGTTCTGTCAGATTAATTTATATATTATTGTTTACTGCCTGTAAACAACAATTATACGTTGTAAGCTCATTTTAGCCTGTTTAGTAACGCTGTGAATGCATTTTTTTTTTACATATTTGCGACAATTAAAAAAAGTTTACAAAGCAAAAAAAAGTATACGCAAATTCAATAAATTGTCGCTTAATCGTCATTGTACAAGAGTATTGCCCATATTACATATTATACATACAATGCTTCCTGCAGTTCGCCATGTCGTATGAGCAACTTTTATTTAAGGGGAAATATTATTTGCCAAATGCCCTAAATGGCCACAGTCCACGAAATGAAAATAGTTTACAATGCAGAAATGTAAAACCATGCATGAACACATTATATACAATTCATATGTGCGTATATTGTACCAGCCTGCATATTGTTGTTGTAAAAGTGTAACTATTCGTAGCGGCATGCAATTTAAATGACTTTCGTCGTGAAGTTCTGGCATTATAAAGTTTTAAATGTTGGCCAAAAGTTTTAACAAACCAAAAAGCACGTGGATAAATAACAGAAGTGAGGCAGCAAATATTAAGTGAGTATATCAAAGAAAACTTTAAGCGATATTTGGCAAGTGACTTGGAAATAATTTAATTTGCAAAGATGTGGTTGGGAAGAAGCAAATTTTGCAAAAGCAGAAAGCTTACAGGTTAGAGGAAGTGACAGGGTGAATAATGTTTACTCAATGAGTTCTGTTCCTTTAAAGAAGTTAGGAAAGTAGTCAGATAGATATCTTAAAAATTGAGGATAAGGACTGGCTAAATCAAGCATCACATAATTTTGCATATATATATGTCGAAAGTATTGTATACATAATTTAGAATATTTTCAGAAAATTTGAAATGGATCCGAAAAAAAACTTTTTGATATTTTTTGTAAGAGTCTTTTAATTTAGTCTATTTTAGGCTCCCAAAATCTCAAACATGTTTTTCTCAAAACCCTATTTTCAGAGTCGGTGAAGAAGATTTCTCCTTGGACCGATCGAAATTCGAATTTTTATTACGAATTTTAAAGGCAATTTCGACTTTTCAAACCACTCTGAAGTGTAAATATTTTCACAAAAATCGATTTTTTGTTTAAAGCCATCACTTAGTCAAAAAATCAAAATTTTTCATCATTGCCTGTGTTCGTCTATAATAATAACACAATTTTTTGGGGTTTTGATTTCAGATAACTTTAAATAGAAAAATCTTCCTCAACGCCAGAAACGTTTTCCTGGAAGTTCGCCTGAAAATCTGCTACGCCATTAAGGAAATCAAACTTTTTCAAAATGGATCACCGCTGTTTACAATATTTTAAATTCTATAAATGTGCATATTTATTAATTAAACAAGATGACTCTTCAAAACAAATTCAGAAATTAAAACGTGTTTTTCTTTTTCATTTGCAAGTAATTAAAATACATGCTACAGGCTATATTCGTTTTAGCTGAATGGCAAGCCATACCTAACATAATGTGTGAAAAAGTCGACTATTGTGTTATCAGATCTTCAATGCTCTCCACTGATCACTTTAATTGTTGAGAAAATCGGATGTATGAGAAAGGGAGCTCCAATAGAATTGAAACCAAAAGTTTTGTAGTTGCACACAAGCTTCAAGAAACATGTTTATAAAATTAATAGCTTTGGAGAATTGGTTCGCGGGATATAGCGTTTTGATAATAGAAAAGAGCTAGTAATGAAGAAAAATGTACTATTAATGCACCGGTTGATATTCTAGAAGCAAATACTTCTAATATTCATTGTATATATTAATAAACTCAAATATAATATATGAATAATTAGTTAATTCGTGTGGTAAAAAAAACTTATTTCTTCACAGTGACGGCTGTAGCATTCCTCTAGCACCGCCTTGAATGCGCTCTTGAGTGCCCATTGTTTTTTCTATGGCACTTTATTTAAGTGGCGCTACTTCTAACGGAAAATAGAGTGTTATTGCGTGGTTAAGTGAAGTAATATTTGTAAAATGAATTTTTTGCCAAAAGCCAAGGAAATCA